CTATGTTTTCTAATGTTGTAATAAGTGCTAAAGTTGATGAAAAAGATGTAAATTGGTACGGCTTAGTAAGTAACATTTACATTATCTGATTCTGCATATATATATAATATAATAAGTATATTAATAATAATGAGTAATAACGAAAGCGAATATAGACAATATTATCATTATATCACGAGTAATTCTATACTAATAATAATTATATATTAATTTTCAGGTATTGCTAATACTTAAGTTTTACTGAGTGGTAGACAGAGAACTGCTTAAATTTATGCTTGTTCGGTGGTATGAAGAAAAGAGCGAACTGTGAAAATGCTTTAAATTAAAATTAATTAAGAATTATAGTTGCATTCCCATAGAAAGTATAGATAAAACCATTCATATTGTTCCAAGAAATGATAAGACAAATGAATATTTAATGAACATTTACATGTTCTAATAAATTAAAAAGTTTATCGTTAATCGATTTAAAGCATCTGTACTATAATGCAATATATAAAAGTATATCGATATGCATCAGATAACTTTATTTTCGATATAAATCAATAAATAGAGATAAATCGCATAGTAACACAGAAAATCATATCGCTATATATCGGTAAAAAATAAATATTGTTAAAAAGCATAAATATCGATAACAATCGAAAACATAATAAATCATTATATATTAAAATATTGATAAGTAACACTAAATTTATGTTTGAAATAAATAGTTACACGCAAATATCGAAACATAACGGGATTATATTTATCATATTGTATTGGATATCTGATATGAATCGATTTATAACAAAAGTAAGATATTTGATATATATCGATATTTAACAAATATCGCTAAATATCAATATAATTAGATAATGCAACTATCGATATATATCTATTAAACGATTACTATCTATATAAATAAAATCAATATAGATCGATGATTAGATATATATCGATATATATCTATTACTGGTATATATCAATTTTTGGTTATATATTGTTATATATTCTAAATTATCGATATATGCCGTTTTTTTCTTATCGATATATATCGATTTTTTGCTATATATCGATATGTATCTATATAAAAAATTTTTTGATATTATTAAAAGTTTCCTTTTATTTTAAAGCCCTTTCTTTAGCTTAGATTTTTATCTTCAAGTTCTGTTCTTTTCTAATATTTATTTTTGACTATACACCCACTATGTTGTGTATATCTCTTATCCTTTATCCATTACATTGTGAAGACTTTTTTTTATTGTGTCTTTATTATATTTTTGTTTAGTTTTAGTGTTGTTTTTATCCTTTATCCATTATGTTGTAAAGACTTTCCTTATTGTGTTTGTTTTATATTTTTTGTTTTGTTTTTGTTTTGTTTTTTTTATCCTTCACCCATTTCGTTATAAAGACTTTTCTTTATTGTATTTTATTATATTTTTGGTTTGTTTTTATCCTTAACCCACTATGTTGTAAAGGCTTCCTTTATTGCATTTTTATTATACTTTTGTTTAGTTTTTATTCTTCATCTATTATATTGTAAAGGCTCTCTTTATTGTATTTAGTTATATTGTTTTATCTGGTTTTATTATCATCCTTGAGTATTCTCTTTTGGATTTTTGTATATTTTATTTTGTATTTTGGTTTAGTTTTTGTATTAGTTTATTTTGTTCTCCTATATATTCTTTGCCCTCTACATATTAAGTCAAGTAACGTAGTTAACTGATTTAGATTTTCTATATTACAATATACTCATTATTTATTGATTTAACCTGTGTATACTATGTTAACTAGTAATGTAAACCAGACCCAAACAATTTGTGACTTTACCTAATTTGGGTTTTGAGAATTTTCTCTTGCATTTGTCTTGATTTACGCTATACTGTATATAAATTTAGATTACAACTAACTAACTATGATATTATTGTCAAATCTAATAAAAACTTTTGTTTATATTGCTAATATATATTAATTTGTCAATATGCATATTGCCTTAATATAGTAGGCTTAAACAATTACAATACTGGTACAATTCCTTAAAATTACTAATTATACATATATATATTTATATACAAGGAACTAATTGCAACTAACAATTTTAGCTAATTAAAATATAACAATTAACATGATGATATAATCACTATAATAGGCATTTGCTTTATATAAAGTTTATACTCTAAATGAAGCCAAAACACTATGTATAATTTGTCAAAATAAAGTACATATACTAGTAAATGAATAAAATAAGGCTATACAATATATCTACTATTGATAACAACTTTAAACCTATACAAATGATATTTCGTTAGCTTTTAAGCATATAATTAGATTAACATTTTATATTAACAAAATTAAGTATCTTGCAATTTTTCTAGTAATGGCCCAAACTACTATACTTCTTGTATTGACATTGATTTGCTGTAGGTTTTGATACTTTATATGCTAATTTTAAACATTTGGTATCTTTGAGATGATCTCTACAATAGTGAATTTTTGTGTATAAGATCACTATTTTCTTTTTCATCATCCAGACTATCAATTTCTTGTAAATCATCTGATTCGAATTTATTATCTTCAACAAAATCCTTAAGCAGTTCATTTAAATTTTGTAATTTTGTTTTATTTTGCAATGCTTTATAAAGGGCCCTTTTGTATATGCTATAAATATTTTTATACATTATTTTTTGTTTAAAAGTTGTTAAATTTTTCTGCTTGAAAATCAAACTTCTCTTGTTTAAGATACAAATATAGAACTAGAAAATCAGGTACTTTTGGTACTTCTATAAAAAACTTGTCCACCACTATAAATAGCTTCTCTGTACCAATTTCTTTTGTACTGTACCAACACGAAGGCAGCATCCGAATGTGAAACTTTGCATTATTTGTACTTAGCATCACCTAAAAATAATGCCAATATACTATACCACATTGTATAATAGATAAACAAGAATATAGATATAACTAATTCTTTAATAGCAAAATATAATACTTTATTTTTGTTGAATTTTCAGTACAAATAGCCCAAGTCTTCTGGATATTGTTCAAGCTAGCAAATTTAATTAGTTGATTAAAACTAGTTTGTATATCATCACTGTCAAATTTTTTATGAGAATTATTAGAATCATCATCCTATTAAAAACAACCTTAATATACTATAATATTATTCAAAATTCAAACAAAATAATAATTAGACTCTCACTTCACTAGAATATATTGTATCTTTAATTATATTCGATATATAATAAACTAACTGGTTAATTTCGTTATATTGCATTTGTAAAATAGCTGGTGTAAGAAACTTTTGAATACACTTGTTAACATTAGTAAACAAAAAGTTCACTTTATCCTGATTTTTCATGTTTGGAATTGAGAGCTTTCAAAATTTATATTCATTCTCTCTATCCTGGATATCTAATAACCTAGTAATTTTGATTAAAAGGTCATATAAAGAGATATTTAAACTATGTAATAAATATTTTAAACATGCATTTACTGATTCAACTTATAATATAGCAATTATTTCTTCAGTAAACTTGAAACATATAAAACAATGAGCCCAATAAGCTTTTGATTTAAAAAGAAACTCTAAATAACTTTAGCATTAGAATAATCTTGAGTAAGTTTATTAAACTGTTAATGAAAAAAAATTTTAAAGAAACTATTATAGCAAATATAGAAGTTTTTAAGAAAGTTTTGGTATATATTGCCTAGCAGCTTTTTGAGATTTTTATATAGATTTTGTGTTAAATAATAAGCACAATGAATCAGATATGTTATAGTAAATACTTGATGAACCATAGCATCAACTGCTGGATTGGTATTAGTGAGAATAACAGCTGGATAAACATTTGTAGCTTTAATAATTTTTGTAAAAGCCCACTTATATAAGCTAACACTTTCATTACAAAGGAGTGCTTGTGCTAATAAAATATTTTTGCAATTACTATCAAACCCAACAACAACAATGCTATTCTATAACGATTAGTCTTGTAGATAATATCATGTAAAATACTATCTAAGTATTGGATCTAATTTTTAACTTGATCTGGTATTATCCATAGTAAATGTGTTAAGGTATTGTCTTCATCAAACTTACATGCAACAACTTAACAAGAATCTATATCTTTTTTCTGGTCAAGCCAGTTGGAAACCTATAAAGTAATATATCAAACCTAATTCATATTATTTGCTTATATATAATAATAAACTAAATTATATCTTTGCTACATTATTTAGCAATAATTTGTTAGTAGAATGAAATTTTTGGATTGCAGAATACAGATCTTTTGAGCATATTGTTCGTGTTGAGTACTTGCTTTCCAGAAACTTTTTTCATATAGTTGCTCCAAATTTGCAATTTTTAGTCACAAATTTTATATTAGCTAGTATTTCAGCAGTAAATTGTTTTCTATCTTTAAATATAATTCTACTTGAGTTTAATAGATAGTTATGAGTATCACTATCTTGTTAATAAATATGAAACATTTTATATTGCTAATTTTAGAGCATGAGCTATTAACAAGATAAGGATATTGTGTCTTTTTAGTAACTATATCTTTTTTAGTATTCGATTCATAAAAGCCTTCATGATCATATAAATAAGTTTTTTGTAAAGAACTCTATTTTTTCAAGTAACACAACCGTTAATAAAATGAAATCCCTTATCCTTTGCCCATTTATTAAAGAATAACTTGCATTTATTCCATGTATCAAATTTTTTTCCAGAAAATAAGAATGATGATTCTATTTCATTTTGTAATATCATATCATCATGGCTCTCTATTAATAAAAAAATAAACAATATTGACAATTAATATCATATTTAACAATGTCCTTATTATTTATAACAAACTTTTAACAAACTTATTTCAAATTCAGAATTTATAGCTCCTTTATTCATAAAATTATTTGAAGCTTCACCTATAAAATATTCTTGATCTTTATTCTTTTCATTTATAACAAAGAAATCTTCTAGTTTTTCATTTATAGTCAAAAAATTCTCCATGTTTTTATCCATAGCGAAATATAAACAACAACCCAAAAAAAACTAGTTTGTAATATGAGTATCAAAAAAGAGTTATGATTGAAGTAAAAAAGGAAAGTTTATAACTCTTATTATACTTACAAGCAAAAGGCACTAGTATGTTCGAAGTCAGCTTTGGATAGAACAAAATCTAAAGGTTATTGATATATTATCAAAATAAAGAATATCAAAAAATTAAGTTATGATCAAAGTAAGAAAGTTCACAATGCTTATTATACTTACAAGCAAAAGGTACCAATATAATCGAAGTCAGCTTTGGGTGGAGCAAAACCTGAAGGTTATTGATATACTATCAAAATAAAGAACATCAGAAAAAGAGTTATGATCGAAGTATAAAAGTTCACAACACTTATTATACTTACAAGCTTAACAAAACCACACACTTGCAGTTACAAACAAAATCACACACTAGTACTACAACAAAGTCATGAGCAAAACTATGACAATCCAAAAAAAACTAGTTTGTAATATAAGTATCAGAAAAAGAGTTATGATCAAAGTAAGAAAATTCACAACACTTATTATACTTACAAGCAAAAGGCACTAGTATGATCGAAGTCGGCTTTGAGTAGAGCAAAATCTAAAGGTTATTGATGTACTATCAAAATAAAGAACATTAGAAAATTGAGTTATGATCAAAGTAAGAAAGTTCACAACAATTATTATACTTACAAGCAAAAGGTACTGGTATGATTGAAGTTGGCTTTGGGTAGAGCAAAACCTGAAGATTATTGATATACTATTGAAATAAAAAGCATCAGAAAAAGAGTTATGATTGAAGTATGTACAAGCTTAACACTTGCAGTTATGAATGAAACCACACACTAGTACTTCAACAAAGTTACAGGCAAAACTATATACTAGTACTTCAACAAAGTCATGGACAAAACTTACACTTGCACTTCAACAAAGTTATAGATGAAACCCACACTTGCATTTCAACAAACTCACAAATGAAAACACAGATTTGCACTTCAACAAACTCACAGACAAAACTACACACATAGACAAAACTACATACACAAATAAAACTATACACATATAAACAAAACCACACATTTGCACTTCAATGAACTTACAGAGGCTTTAGTCTAAAATTACCATGGCTATCCAAATAGTACTTGTACTATCAAATTGATGTTTTATACTTACAAGAAAATAAGTATTGGTATAATTAAAATTGGCTTTGGGTGAAGCTTTATAGCTTTTTAGTGAAACTTTAAAGCAGTAAAGGTTTAGCAAAACTCTTAGTCATCATCATCAAGTAAAATTTGAATGCTAATACTACAAATGTGGTAAGCAATTTAGACTTTTACCTTTGTATAACTTTACTTAATAAATTATACAACTCCTTATTACTACTTTTTTTCTCTACACCTTTGGTTATACTTTACATCAGCAAAAATATATAAGTGTAAACTTTCATAAATTTTATGGTACATACAAAAATCATAAACTTACACAATATATTTATACAAATTTACACTTTTCTTACGATGCGTAAGAAAAGCGTAAATTTGCGTAAACATATTGCGTAAGTTTACGATTTTCTTACATACCATAAAAACTTACAGAAGTTTAAAATATTTATAATGCACTATTCAAATTATAAGTCATAACGATGAATTACTTGATTTATATTTTCTTGTAACTTCGTGAACTTATGAAATTTTACAAAGATTTAAATTGATTAATAATTTTTTTTAAATAAATCAATAGCAGGATGCAAACT